TTTGCGTTGTGCCTGCTTTTCGGTTTGGGTTACACAGCAAAACCTGCAAAAGCTGGAACGTGTGAGGTGGAAACCTGTCAGAGAAGAACACTCAAATATCTTCCACTAACAGAGAGCGACAGAAAAGCGGTCAGACTGCACCCTGCCAAAAGCAGAAAACTTACAAGACCTAGAGAAACAAGGCAGTCCTGTCACGTTCTCGCTCTCCCAGGTTTCACTGTACTTCACGGTTTACGAGTAAAAACAAACACATGGACGGCAACCTTTTCAGAGAAACATAAAGACTGAAAGAGAGCGTGTGTTAGTTTTCTCCCGCTGCATAACGAACAACCAGAAACTCCACGGCTTCCGCGGCACCTGTTCATCACCTCACGTTTCCGTGGGCGGGGGCCTGGGCGCGGGTCTCACGAGGCGACCATCCAGGTGCTGGCCGGGCTGTGGTCCTTTCTGGAGCTCGGAGTCCTCTTCCAAGCTCACGTGGCTGTTGGGAGAATTGTTCCACGTGGCTGTAGGACGGAAGGCCGTTTTCTTGCTGGGTTTCAGCGGACAGCCACTCAGCGCCCACAGGCTCCTGCAGCTCCTGCCCCTGGGCCTTCTACCCACCCTCTCACAGCCAACCTTTTGGTTAGTAGCTGAGCGCTCCTTCCTGTATCTGCACCCACACCTATATTTATAGTAACTTCCACAACCCATCTATCAGTGTGTTGAACTGTAGTAGCTTGTATGACACTGTGATGCTGGAAGCTACGTCACTGGTATGTCCAATACCAGCAGGGTCACCCATGGTGGACGGGTTTCAGCGGAGCTTCCAGGCTAAGACAGACTAGGAAGAATGGTCTGGTGATCTACTTCTGAAAACCAGCCAGTGAAAACCCTATGGATTACACAGAACACTGTCCAGTACAGTGCTGGAAGACGAGCCCCTAGGTTGGAAGGCACTCACATACACAGCGGCCGCAACAGTGGGCTCAAGCATGCAACAATGGTGAAGATGGTGCAGCAACGGGCCGTGCTTCCTTCTGTTATACAAGGGGTCGCCGTGCGTCAGAGGAGACTTGACAGCAACCAACGAGGACAACAGTGACCTAGTCACAGGAATGGCACCCCACTGCCTTCGCCATGGTCTGCTGGTTAGAAGCAGGTCACAGGTCCGGCCCGCCCTCAGGGGGAGGGGCTCACACCACCAGGGAGACGCGTTCGGGTCACTGGGTCACCTTAAGGTGTCCAACACAGACAGCCTCCTCCAGACGCCCAGCCCTAAAGACAGCCCCAGTCTACATGTTTGTGAGCCCCTCACAAACTTTTTATGCCTAGATATATTTTAAACCATGACATCGTTTCAGGATTTACAGTATTGTTTCGTTAGCTTGCTTTTCCAACCTAAAAATGATCACTTAGGACTATTTTCCATGTCTCTAACTATAGATCTAAGGAGCCCTGGTGGCACAGTGGTTAAAGTGCTCCACTGCTAACCAAAATGTGGGTGGTTGAAACCTACCAGCCACTGTATGGGAGAAAGTGGCAGTCTGCTTCCATAAGTATTACAGCCTTGGAAGCCCTATGAGGCAGTTCTCTGTCCTACAGTATTGCTATGAGTCAGAATCCACTCGACAGCAAGGGGTTTGGTTTTAACTATAGAGCTACACTGTCACTTTTAATGGACACACAGAATTCCTTTGTACGAGGATTATTTAAACAGTTTTCTATAGATCACAGCCAAGAAAACCCTATGGAACAGTTCTACTCTGTAACACGTGGGGTCGGCATGTGTTGGAATCCACTTAGCAGCAACGAGTTTGGTTTTTTATTGACAAATATTTAGGTTTTCACTTTTTTAGGGTGTGTGTGTGTATGTGTGTGTGTTTACTATTGAAGTAAGTGCTGCAAAAATATCTTGCAAATTCACCCTTTCACACATATGCATAAATTATCTCAAGGTAAATTCTCTTTGCTTATATACTGAATACTTCTCATTTTCCAGGCAGTATTCTAAGCTGTAGACTAATTTATTTAGTTCTCACAACACTCCATGAGGTAAGAGCTATTATTCCCAATTCCCAGATGTGGTAACTGAGGGGTGGAGATTAGTAACATGCCCGAGGTCACCCAGCGATACTGCTGGCACCAGCGTCTCAGATCTTGTCCCGTTTCTCTGAGTCTGCAGTGCAAACAGCCTATCGGTCTTCTTTTCATGATTGTCTGTTTCCTGCGCTGTGACCATTTTTACTGATTTATGAGAACTCTCTATGTGTTAAGGAACTTAAATCCATCTCAGATGGGTTACAAATATGTTTTCTTTGCTTGTTATTTTTCATTTGTTTATTGAGGTTTTTGAGTTTGGGTGGTAGCGCGTACTATAGGTATTTATCATCCATTTTCTTCTGTGGGGTTTTTTTCCACTGCTGTTATGTTCTGTGTCCTTCAGCATTACCAAAAATTCACCTATTTTTATTCTGAATGCTTTGGGGGGAATTTTCATTTTTGTATTAAATCAATTTATCTGAAATTCATTTGGGCATATTAATTTCTCTTAAATGAGTAATCAGCCTCTCAGTGAAACAAGGGCTTGGGGAGCTAGGACATTTGTGCACGGTTACTCCACCCGAAAGTGACCGTGTGTGCTCAACAGCCATGCCCTGCTGAGGACCCTCCATGTGGGGGCCATGCCATGGCGAGGCCAGGGCGTGAGTGGACCCTCAGTGTGGGGGCCGTGCCGTGGAGGGTCCCAGGCATGAGTGGACCCTCAGTGTGGGGGCCGTGCCGTGG